CATATGCTTTTCAAATGAGGAAGATGAATTTAATGTTCAATTTTGGGATTTTTTTTTTAATTGATTCAGGGTCATGATGATAGTGAGGATTCTGATAATTATGAAATGGAAGAAGATACAGAGTGAGTATTGTGTAGTACACTTAACTTGTACAGGATGTGGTTAGACTTTTTTCTTTTTCTTTTCATTTTTATTTGTCAAGTCTTGTGGCAAAGCGTTTATTGTTGTAATCATTGATGACAAATGTTTGATATAATTATTATTGTGATGTGCTTTTTTTGAACAGACAAGACTCTAACAAAGAGTTGCAGGAAATTGGTGCAGCAAATTATGCAGTATTGGAAAGGATACGAGTGAATAGAAGGGAGGACCACCTTAAGGTTGGTTTGATTAGAAAATAATGATATTTACTCAAGGCAAGAAACTTTTTTTTCAACTCACCTGTCCCTTTGGACAAGTACAGGGTTTATTTTACTTTTCCAGATCTCCAGCATACCTGTACATGTACTTGTCTGAAAAGACCTTAAATAAAAAACTATTAGGTAGGAAGTGGGTTTCGCTTGAAAATCAATGGCCACACAAAAGGATATTATTTTACTACCTGTAAGTGGTACTTATCTTTATGGACGGCAAGCTATGTAATACATGTATATTTATAAATGATTTATTTTCATGTCCAAAGTCAGGACTACATGTTTACGTGTTTTGTTATTAACTTCATCCAGGGGACAGTGAGTGGATCTATCCAAGCTACTGACAGATTAATGAAAGAACTTCGAGATGTTTATAGATCTGAGAGTTTCAAGACAGGTTTGTTTTACTTTATCGCTTTTTTTAAATATTTTTTCCTTTTTTTTTAATAATTAATAGCACTATAACAAAATGTTTCAGTCAATAACTCCTGGCCATTATTCTTTAATATTGACTCAAGTAACTTTTTTACAATTCCTACTGCAGTTAAGGTATACAATCATGTAACAAAAATATTGACAATAATAATGATAATAAAAAACAGCAACAGAAATAATCATTATCATAATGATAATAAAAATAACAATAATTATAACAGTTAATATTACAGGTATATAATTACAACAGTTTTAATAATTAAAACAATTTTTATCTATATTTTCTCTATTGATGATATTCCGTGTGCATGTACAAGTCATATATCTGGATTTCAAGTACATGTATGTGTGCAGTGGTTATGAGAGAAACTAACAGGATGAAATGCTTTTTTTCTTTTGCTTGATTGTGAAGATACATGTACTTATTGTTCAAAATTACATTTTCCTTTAAGGAACATATTCTGTGTGCCTCAATGATGACAACTTATATGACTGGACAATAAAAATTATAAGGTGTGTAGGCTCAATAATTTATTTAACAAGGCATGTAATACTGTACATGTAACTGGTCATGAATGTGTATTTAAATTTTTAGTTTTAGTTGAATTCATGTGCTGTAGTTCAATTATTTTCTTTTGTTATGAAAGTTTTCAATTGAAACCAGTTATTAAAGGAAAGGAAATTAAACTTTGAAACTTGTTTCAACATTTATTTTCATTTTTTTAGATAATTATATGTTTGCAGCATTTATGTTTTGGGCATGACTCAAGAGTTTTTTAGCCCAAGTCGCTAACTAGGTGGGGATTAAATTTACTTTGAGAAAGGTCCAAGACATTAATGCTCATGAACAAGAACTTAATTTCTATAATAATTATTACTTTACAGTAGGGCATTGAAAAATAAAAACTGAAAAACAAAGAGACAAAAAAAATGATCTGAACAATCACACAGTCAGGTATAAATCCATATTAAATTGCCAAAATCTCTATTGCAGCTGGCAAAATGCACCATGCTGCAAACAAAGTAATAAGAATGATTATGAGGTTAAACAAATCAAACCAGTGTGAGAAAAACAGAATCAAGAACTTTTAACTATTAGATAACTGAGGAACTGATAATTTTTTCTCAATATAGAGTTGACCCAGACAGTACATTACACAAAGATCTAATGCAGCTTAGAGGGCAAGAGGGTACAGATCATGTGTTGCTAAACATGACTTTTACAGTAAGTATTGTAGTGTTTAGAATATTAATCTTGTAAATATGTAATTACCTCTCCATAAGCAAAATATTTGACATTATTACATAGCAGGACAGGGGGAAAATAGGAGATAAAATTTGGTAAAAACATCTTTCACAAATTACATAGGTCAGAATTCACCTTCACCGCTGACTCTTTTTTGAGTACAATATCATTTTCAATATGCAGGCCAAGGCTTATATGCAACAATATACTTAAAGTACAGGAATTGTTTTGCAACAAATGTTCCAGTGGTCCAGTCTTGCTTGTTCCTTTCCTTCATGGTCTTTCTAGGTGTACAGTGGCTTTTGGCAATTTTATACAACTACATTTATCTAGAAGGAGCCTTAATTTTTTAACTAAAGGATTTGAGGTAGATACATATCAATGTAACTGACTGTTTTTTCAGGACAAGTTTCCATTTGATCCCCCATTTGTCAGAGTCATTTATCCAGTATTAACAGCAGGGTAAGTTCAATATTGGGGACAATTATCAGTATTTAGGAATAATAATTGCATTTTTACATGATTGTACAGTTTTTAAGTATATCCTTTTGATGTTAAGGTTGATGGTGATGCAATTTAGGCATTCTTATTCTAAACACATCAAAACTTAGATGTATCTCACAGTTGTTTAATAAACCAACATGTGTGTAGTTAAATGACCATCTGAAATAAAAAACTGTATTATTTAAGCTCAACTGGTGGGTTAAAAAATTAATATTTTGATATAGGATGTGTTGGAAATATTCATGAGTACTTTACATGCATAGGGGGTAACATTTATTAGAGGGTCTTAGAATGCAACAAAGGAACATTGACTAATCCTTCTTTAGTTGATTTGTGCATAGATGAAAGGGATTTTTACAATCCTTAAACAACATACATCTGTACATGTAGCTAACCCAGCAATTCTGAGTGTCACCTAAAGGCACTTATAACTGTACAAGTACATAATTATACAAAATCACTGATGTAGTTGAATTTTAACAATATGTTGACAAAAGGAGATAAATTACCATCTGGTTGTGAATTTTACTACCTTTTGAGAAAGTGACTCAACCCTTTGTTTAAGAAAAGTGTTTGAATCAAAAAAGGAGTAAATACCTGTGACAAAACATCATTGCCTGCCAGTGCTGCCCAACAGTTTCTTTTGATAAGATAGTTTAATGATTTAACTGCTCTACTGGCTTGGTTTGCTGCTCTTTGGAGCTTACTGATGTACATGATGTCTCTTTTTTTCCAACAGTTATGTACTCAGTGGGGGAGCCCTTTGCATGGAACTGCTCACACCCCAGGTTTGTAATCTGGCATCATAATGAATTCAGTTAAGCAGAATGTTGTTGATTTTATGGCATGTTTTAGGATGTATTTTCTCTCTACCATTATAAATATAGTAATTAAACTTGAAACAATATGAGATGCTGTACATGTATGAATGATTACACAACTTAACACTGTACATGCAGGTGTAACAAGTGTGCATGTATGAACAGTCAAACCTCTCTAATATGGTTTACTGAAGGAATAAAGGAAGGTGCCTGTGGAAAAGAGGTGCCATAAACTGTGAAGTGCATCAGATTCTTTTGTTGGCCCTTGTTTCCTTTTAAGGCTTTGTCTTCAGCACATGGAATATGGGATTGATGTGCTTCTGAGATAAGGCCATATCATGTGTTTTGAGCTAAATAGCTAGAAATACTAGATGAAGGTGAAATGATACATCCCTTATTCAATATGTGTAACAAAGAATAATTAAAAATTTTGCATATTTTACAAGTATATGTCAAACCATTTATTAAGTTGTATGTATAACATTACACAGTAGCAAGATTTTGTGTTCTTGTTACAGGGTTGGAGTAGTGCATACACTGTTGAGGCTGTTATAATGCAAATTGCTGCTACATTAGTGAAAGGAAAAGCAAGAATAAACTTCCAAGAAAACAAAAAGGTGGGTTGTTGATTCTTGGCAAACGAATTCACTACCAGATAAGTTACAGGCTAGTTAGTGATTGAAAAAAAAATTTTAAGTTTGGAGAACATGTCTCGACATTAGTGATGTCATCTTCAGTTACATGTGCTTGTGCTACAAATAATTAAATATACAATGGATACATTAAGGAATTGCTACACACATGTACATGTAAGATTTTGCTTTACAGATTTGTAAACTATTTGAATAGAAATAAAGCAATACTAATGTAGTGAAGTAAAATAATATTATTATAACAATAAATATATGATAAAATAAGAATTAACTTAAAAGTACATAAATAAGTGTTGCAACTTTTGGTTTAGAGTCAGATTCTCCCAGTATTGTACATTAAGCCTCTTCAAAAGTATATTTTTATCTTTTATTGTTTATTTCTCATTATGTGCAAAAATGTGGTAGATGAATATGTGGTAGAAGGAAATCACAATTTGTTGTGTCTTTCACTAACAGCCAGGGGTCTACAGTCTAGTTCGAGCTCAACAGTCTTTCAGGTCTTTGGTCCAGATCCATGAGAAAAATGGTAAGAGATATGAATTATCAATTATTTTAGGTATTCTAGGAGGTTACTTCTTACTTCCTAAAGCTGGAGTGGCATTGAAAGGGTCAAGACTCACCAGCTACAATTTGTTTTGCTTTAATGAGAAATTCTTATTACCAATTTTACCCAAAAATTTGTAGCAGCTTGAAAAAGAAATAACGAAATAAGTTCTTGAGACTTTGGAGGTATAACTAGTAATGTTGAATGACCACTTTGTCTCAATGGCATCATTAAATGTCACTACTAGACTGTAATCAGCTCCAAACTCTCATCACAATATTTTCTCTCCTCCCAGGTTGGTACACTCCACCTAAACATGAAGGATGAAAGGCTTCAATGTTTGTGATTTATCTTATAGAATACATGATGTCTTTTGATGTCTGTCTACACACCATATTTTTATGAAACCTCAGCCAAATTATAATTAATATGTACAGTAGAAGTAAAGCGTTATCAAAATGGTAGTTGTGACAATTATGTCTTCTTTTTCCCTTTCTTACTTAAACGAAGTTGTATTCAACTTGTTCTGCATGTGCATGTCCTATGGCAACTGATTTACATTACATTTTTTAGTTCATAATGTGGATCAATTTAATGTAATGACATGGAACTTAAAGGCAAGGCATGATGTTAAGCTGACATTACATGTGTGAAGCAGATGCCAATAATTTGTTTCATTTCCCTCCTTTGTCATACCTTAGGGTCTTTGAGGAGTGGTACATCTACATGTTTATCCTCGATGCCCACTGTCTCTGAGGAGTGGTACATGTACTTGCTTGTCCTCAATGCCCACTGTCTCAGAGGAAGGGTGCATTTATGCGCATATCCTCAATGCTCAGTGTCTGAGAAGTAGTGAATGTACCTCTTTATCCTCCATAGTCATGTACATTGTTACTTAGTTGTAGAGTTTTGTCTCAAAAAATTTCATCAAAAGTCCATAAATTGCTATGCAACCATACTTGTACCAATCTGCATCAGCAGCGTCTCTGCAATGCGCTGTTGTTTTGATTGGAGTAGCGATGATTAGAAGAAGCCCAGCATAGGTAATTTCTTAACTTTAAAGAAATCCATATAGATTGTTGTAGTGATAATGTACTAGTTTGGGAATTATAGGTAATTTGTTGAAGTTTAGCATAAACTACGTAGAAAAAATACCCTGGTACTTTATGTATTACTTAAAGGTTTTTCCTTTCTATTCTATTCGTATAACTATTCAAAGCTGGGTTGTCATTTTTTTCTTTGGTTATGGCACCTTTACTGAAACTGCAGTCAAGGCAAAAATGATTCCACTAACGTGTACATGGCAGGGTTTTTTTTTCTTTGGGGACTGGTCTTTAGGGTACGTCAGTTATTGTTCTTTCTTTCTTTTGGAAATCGCACTGTTTTGAAAAAGTTTGCCATTCATCAAAAATACACTAGGAAAATGAAATTCTCCAAAACACATTCCAAGAGAGCCCCCCCCCCCTTTCAGGTCAGTGGGGCAGATGGGGAGGTTAGTGCCAAAGGTTTTGTCTTTCTAATGTTTTTCCCTATTGCTACCGCACATGTTTTGCGTGCAGCTGGGAGCAGTTGCATGGTGCACGTGTATTTATAAAACAAGTACATTCTCGTTTTGAGACTACAGTCTCCCAGCTTTTTGCAAATGGAGAGAGAAGTGTTTTATGTTAACCTAGAAAGCAGGATATGTATACGCGTACACAGTGGTAGGAAAAGCAAACGGGGAGGAGGGGGGAGGTCTTGAGGGTCCAGTTAGAGGGAGGTGTAGTAAAATTGTGGCTAGAGTGCAAATCCCACTCCCTCCCCTTCCCAATTCACCCTTGAGTATTTTTCACTAAAAGTAGATGGAGAGATGGGAGAATTTTGGTTGATTTTGAAATATTTTCTTTAGATTTCAGTTTCATCTATTGTCATGGCAGTTGATAATTTTCGTAGTTCTGTTACTAGAAGTCTCTTCTAGAGCTTTGAATTTGCTGGCTCTCCAGGTTGTTGGTTGCTGTTAGTCGTATAGTAAGTATTGTATATAGTGCCACCTTTGCTGGTGAAGAATAAAAGGGATATTTTATTATCTTACCTTGTTGTTCCTCAATCTCTTTACATCCTAATATTGGCATTCATATTCTCCACACTGTTCTCTTTACATTTGCTCTGGTACTTATAAGGAGAATTTGTTCAACTGTCAGGAGCTTCCTAGATTGATGATCATTTTCCTTTATTCTCGTTACCTTAGCAGTTGATTCAGGGGTGATACTGTAAGGAGAAATGACAGGCCAGTCACTCATAGAGAAGACCTGAAAAATGTAATCAATGGTTATGGTCAAATCTGTGGTGTTTATGCTTAAATAAACACTGAAACTTTGGATGCAAACACAACGATATTTAATCAACATGCAATACGATACCCCGACTACAGAAAAAACTCATTTTCTTTTGGACCACGAGCGCATCCCGAACAATGTGATTGACGGCTGTCAGAAACACTACATCTCTCCCCTTCTTGATTATAAACTTGGATATGTGTATATCTAAAAGATCGACTTGAACAACTTATCTCTAATGGCTAAAAACGATAAACTGGAATGTGTTTAATTGTCACAAAGTTCAAATGCTTGCTTCGATTGTCTAGTTCTATCGCACAAGTAGGACAAAGTCTTTCAGTTTTACAAGAAGCCTTGTTTGCCTTTGAGATCGCCGCTGGGCTGTAGTTGAGCTAAGAGAACTTTACTATCCTACACCAACAATCTTCCAAGTCCGACGGGGCTCGCGTCGACTATCACTTCAGTCTGAGTCTTGGGTTAAAGTATGACATCTGATCACGTGATTCTTGGTCAAGCTATCTTTCAACTTGTCGAATGCTCGTTGCTGTTCGTCGGCCCACTGCCATGAAGTGTCTTTCTTGGTTAACAGCCGTAAAGGAGCAATTATCGTGGCCTAGTCTGGGATGTAACGAGCTATCCCCAGTAGAGACCACCTCGCTGACACTTTCTGGTTTGCTCATGTCCATATCGCCTTGATCTTCAGGCTGGGTCTGCCTTGACTCCGTTCTTGCTGAAAATCTGTCCGTAGAACTTGATCTCACTCCTCGAGAAGGCGCATACTTCTTCTTCAGGCGCACGCCATGTTGCTGGAGCCGTTTCAGTACGCCACGGAGGTTCTCATCATGTTTCTTCTGAGTTTTTCCATAAACGGTAATATCGTCAGAGATACTCTTGCATCCAGGGAGGCCTGTGAGTATTTCCTCGATTGCGTTCTGCAAGATCTCGGGTGCTGCGTTAATTCCAAACATGAGGCGCTTGTATCTTCGGAGTCCGACGTGTGTGCTGAATGTGGTAATGCAGCGGCTCTCTGGTGCCTGCTCCAGTTGGTGGTATCCAGACGAAAGGTCTAACTTGCTGAAAACTGTCGCTCCGTTGAGGTCAGCAACCAGATCGTCTATAGTCGGCATCAGGTGTTTAACAGCCTTGTTGGCCTCTCGCATGTCTACACATATTCTCACTTGACCAGACCTCTTGGGGACTATGACAATAAGGCTCACTCAAGGCGTTGGGCCTGTCACGGTCTCGATGATGTCTAGCTCTTCTAATCGCTTTAACTCCATCTCGACATCCTTTCTGACTTGGAAGGAAATTCGACGGTGCGGTTGTTGCTTGAATATGACGTCAGGGTCAATGTGAAGCTTGCTGACTTTTCCTTTTACTTTGCTGATTCCACCGAAGAGGCTTTCTAAATCTCCGAGTAATGACTGGGGACAGGTCTCGTCAGGTTTGACTTAGTTGATGATCTTGAGCACGCCAAGTTCTGTAGCATTGTTAAAACCCAGGAAAATTCCTGAAGCGCCTTTGCCGGAAGCAGGGTCGACCATGTGCTGTTGGTGTTAACGAATATTTCGGCCTCAATAGTTCCCAGAACAGGTAGAGGTGTGGGTGATCCGTAGGAGAAAATTCTGCGTTTGTTGGCTTCTGGTACCTTCCGTTTGTATAACTCCCTGTAGGTGCGTTCGTCCATAAGATTGACCGATGCGCCAGGGTCGACCATCATTTCCATTTTTTTCCCATCAATTTTGACTTTGCAAGTTTGTTGCTTGTCACCGCCTACCGTGTAAACATATTCGTCATTTTCAGCCGTGTCTTCAAACGTGACGTGTTTTGCTGACTCAGGTGGATTTGTTCTGCAAACACGGGCAAAATGATTTAGTTTGCCACAGGATTTGCACTTCTTGTTTTTCGCAGGGCATGAGTCTTTGTGGGGGTATGGTCCCCCACAGTTCCTACATTTACCATCGTCTTCTCGGGAGTTGCTGCGATTGCGTGACTCGTAGCGAGTGCGTAACTCCTGGCGATTTTGATGGCGCTGTTTCCCTTTGAGATGTGTTGAGGTTCCTTTCTTGTTAAACTTTGCCGCGTTTACGGTTTGATCGTGATTCTCCAACTCCTTTGCTTGTAATTCGTTTCATTCTATTCCGTTCTAATTCTTAATTCTACCAGCTTTCATGAGGCCAGATAAGTCGAGGTCTTCTCGCAGAGCTTTGTGCCGTAGGGAATTTGACTCACAGTTCAAGATGATCTGTTCTTTGATTTCTTTGTCTGGATTTGCGGAATCGCAGGTCTTCGCTAGGCTTCTCAGATGTGTGTGGAAACAGTGGAGGGTTTCTCAATCCTTTTTCTTGGCCTGCTGGAAATTGTACACTTCGTATGTTACTTTGACTTGCGGAGAGAAGTGAGCGGTTTGTTTCCCGACGGCTTTTTTGTAATCTTTGTCTTCACCGACGTCTTGAAGAGTGTCGAAGATCTCGTCGACCTCTGGACCGCCGTAGTGCAGCAAAAGGGCTCTTTTTTGCTTGTCATCGGAAATTCCCATTCGAATGGTTAATCTCTCGAATCGTCCTAGCCATTTCTTCCATCTCAGGCCTGCAGTTCCATCGAGGTGAACTTCAAACGGTGGGAAGTTTGGTAGAGAAATTGCCATAATGTTTTCGCGGGAAAATGCTCCGGAAATCTCTTTGGAAATCGCTTCGGAAATTTCTCTGGAAATCGCTTGGAAATCCCTTTATATCCTTTTGGAGTGCTCTCTGTGTGTTCTATGCTAGATTCTCGTCGCCAGATGTGGTGTTTATGCTAAAATAAACACTGAAACCTTGGATGCAAACACAGCAATATCTAATCATCATGCGAGACGATACCCCGACTACAGAAAAAACTCCTATTTTTTTGGACCGCGTGCGCATTTCGAACAATGTGATTGACAGCTGTCAGAAACACTACAAAATCCACGGGCGAACAATGTCGACCAATTCAAATAAGATGCAATCAGATCAAGCTTTAAAGGAAAACACTTAATCGTCGATCTTGTCTGTTTATTTAAGTTTTAAAACACAAACTAGTTACAAAAATTTACTCCTGGTAACATCCCTCAGTTAAGTCATACTCTTTGATGCTTGAGGCATTTGTCTTCACTTCGCAATTCATAA